GGATATTCATAATGGTGTCCACCTCCTCACATGGAGGGGGATCCATTTCAAATAAAATATAATTTATTCGAAGTGAGTCTCCCTTCATGTGAGGGGGGTGGACATTATTATGGACATCGCATTATGTACAAGTAGTATATTCCAATCTTCAAAATCTCTTGCATTTCACTCCGATGACGGACACAAAGGACCAAATTTCGGCAGTGAAAATAAAATATTTTTAAAAATTTCCATTGAAAGTATACCTCTTCAGTCATAATGTCTCCAACCTTGGTCGACTTTGACGACCTTCCCTGTACGATTATTTTCCTGAGATAATCTGGATTAACAAAACATCGTCAAAAGGCTGTAATAAAAACTATACGCTTCTTAAACCAAAGCACTGATGTAAGGCATCGGATTGTTCGTAAGGAAGATAGTCTCATGCAGATTTAACTTATGCATCTACCTCTTTCCGTGATAATTCCAGCAATTGACTTCTGCTCCCCGGGTTTGACAACCACCAATGCTCCAACATTGTGCTGTGTCATCTGCAGCGGACGTAATACAGGAATCCTCAGATTAAGTTATTTCACTTTCCAAAAGAACCAGAACCTGTAATGTCATTGATTAAGCCCTATTCCCTTCTTACTATAGTAATAATAAACAGAATGAATTCAAAAACAAGCAAAACAAACGAACAGATTTAAAATGATTTCTCAGACCTCAACCTGAGAACTATGTCACTTGCACACATAAAACCGACCCACCCCCTAAAATCCTTTCTATAGTAAGGTGACCTAACACATATAGTCATATACTCACGATAGAAAAGCTTAACAGTCAAGGGGATAAGTGTAGAGCATCGTTAGGTTCTACACAGTCCAACACGAGAAAGGCATCAAGAAAAGCACGAGTCTGATGCCCTACCGACTTCACTGCATCATATACAGTATCCTCAGTTGTGCACCAAAGCCAGGACCCATCTGCGTTTTTCCCTTTAGCTTTCAGAATGTCGGCAATTTTGGTGCTCTCAAAACCATGCTCTTCTATATGAGCAGCCGAAACTGACTCGTGACGTACAAACATAAGAGGCCGCATGGCTGGAGTCACTAAACGCACATGTTTCAGAACAGCATTCTTGAGCACGTTCC